TTTTTTTTTTTTTTTTTTTTTTTGGTCTTGACAGGGTCTCACTATGTAGTTGAGGCTGGCTTTGAACTCAGTAGTCTGGGCTGGACTCAACTCTCAATGAACCTTCTGCTTCAATCTGAGCGCTGGGATTATAGGCTTGTAGCATCACGCCCAGCTCACAGGGTCTATGAGGTACAGGGTGTTCTGCTAACACAAGGCAATCCTACTTCAGCCTGGAGAGCACTGGACTGCAGGGGTGCCACTACTTTGGGTGAGACAGGTACTTTCAAGGTAACATGAACTGTTAATTATGATTCAAATCCAGTGTGACCTGAATTTAACAAGTAGGGCCCAATTGTTTTTTTTTTTTTTGGCAAAACTGGGGATTGAACTCAGACCCTTGCGCTTGCCAGGGAAGCACTTATTCTACTGAGCCATCTCCCTGGCCCTGAAGAATTTTTTTTGGTGGAACCGGGGATTGAACCGGGGATTCCTGCTCAGGCCCTTGCGCTTGCCAGGGAAGTGCTTATTCTACTGAGTCATCTCCCTGGCCCACGGCCCAATTTTAAAGTCCACAGGAAGAAGCCAGGTGTGGTGGGGCTTTCCAGTCCCTAATTTCAGCACTTAGGATGCTGAGGCAGGACCACACCAGGCCCTACAAAGTGAGCTCAAGGCCAGCCTGAACTGCATAGCAAGGCCTTCTCAACACAAAAAAAACCTTGAAAGTTAATTAGTGCCTGGCACAAATGCTTAGTCCAAGAAAATCACCTGAATTCTACTGTAGAGAAAACTCAGAGCCAGGTATGGCCTGGCTTGCAACTGTTAATCAGTACGAAGAGAGGCTGAGGCAGGCTGGCAAGTCATCTGGGAAATTTCAACGTCGCTCAGGATAAATATCCTGGGCTCAACTGCTAAAAAGTCCTAACTCCATTCTTCTCTTCAGGGATAGAACCATCATTCTGTAACTGCTTAGCGTGATACCAATGCTGAGCACAATGCAGTTTCCCTCACACCCAAATTCATCTACTGGCCAACTTGTCTCCAGTACTTTATAAGCAGTCCCTGGCTATCACTTGCACCCTTAAATTACCTCAGCCCAAACCAAGAGCCACTTTACCTTCCAGGTGGTTCCTTGCCATTTTCCCATCCTTCAGAGCCTTCACCTTCTGCAAGGCTGTAGACAGCAAGGTGGTTTTTACAAGGCTCCCATTGTGACATAACTCATACCTGCAGCCAAGCTGGCAACTGCTAGGTACACTACTAGAGACAGGAGTAAAGAACACAGTGGGGCCAGGGAGATGGCTAAGTGGAATAAGCGCTTCCCTGGCAAGCACAAGGGCCTGAGTTCAATCCCTGGTTCTGCAAAAAACCCCCAAAAAAAACAACCCACATCATCTGTCAACAGATGAACATCGGGGCTGGTGAGATGGCTCAGTGGTCTAAAGCACCTACTTAGAACAAGCTTAGCAAAGCACAGGGACCACGGTTCAATCCTCCAGCACCACATACCAGCCAGCCCCACCCCCTGGTGGGCTGAGCTGGCCACACACACACACACACATAAATAAAATAAAATAAAGATGAACATCAACAGATGAACAGGAGCATGACAAGCAAATGCTCATCCAATCTCTATGACCAGTCACTTAAGTTATCACCTCAAGTACTCCTGCCAAGCATAAGGTTGAATCTGATCCTGATCTCCAGCACCAAAACAAAAAACCCCTAAAATTCAGGGCCTGCCCGTTAGCTCAGTTTAAGTGCCTGCTCATGAAAATGAGGTCAGGCGCAGGATATGACAGTTCAATCCCTAGCTCTACCTGCACTACCAGACCCGCCCTTAAGGCAGCCTGGACTAGCAAAACAAAAAAACCAAACCCTAAAATTCACTTAACAGGTTTTCTCACCTTTGGTGCTCTTTCTCAACTTTTTCTTTGGTGGAACTGGGGTTTTAACTCAGGGCCTTGTGCTTGCCAGGCAAGCACTTATTCTACTGAGCTATCTCCTTGGCCCCTCAACTAGTTTTTGATACCAAGAGTTGAATTCATGACCCTGAGCATGCCAGAGAATTGCTGTGCCACTGATCTGTATCCCCTTTCCGACTTTTTTCTGTATTTAGGACAGGGCCTACAGGGTCTCATGTGCTACATAGATCAGACTTGTAGTCATTTTCCTGTTCTCAACCTCACAAGTGCTGGGAATACAAGCACGTGCCACCACAGCACGAAGGGGATCGAGCCCCTGCCACTGTGCCTGCAGGCACTTTAGTCCACTGAGCTACCAGGCTGGCTCCTCCAAACTAATTTTAGATGAGCAACCCTGGGGCCGTAGTTTTAATTACCATGGAAAAAAAGCAAATTTCCTAATGAACACTTTTTTAAAAAATAATTTTATTGAGAAACAAATAGCAATGAGACAGTTCCAAAACCGATTACTAGCA